CTTTAACACACAGCTATGTGGAGAAACCATTTCTCTCTTGACTAGACGGAAACTGACATTTATAGACTCCGAAAATCTTCCTCTTGCATCTTGGCCTGGCAAAGATGCCCTCCCTTATTTAACTCCTTGCTCCAGCAGAGATGTCGACCCCCCCTTTCGCCTCTAAACATGACGGAGATGCCACCCCTCCTTTAGCTTCTTACTCCGACGAAGATGTTGATCCCTCTTTTCACCTCCTAGTCTAGTGGAATGTCGATCCCTAGCCTCCTCGTCTACTAACAAGTCTTTCACACCATAGACTCTTCTTCCTAGAGCTCCTCTCCAAGAGCTCCACCAAAACACAACAGGAGGACCCAAGGTGGAGGCTATCCGGAGAAACCGTGTGAATCCCCACACCCCTTGACTCTTGCAAGGAAAACTCCCTCTCTCAACCTCACAACCTCTCTCTCCCTTACACACTAATGCTACATTGTTTTTAGTTTTGATTTTTTAATGCTACTTGGTGTATGTTGTACCTAAAATGGTTAGTCACACAAATAAATATCTAATATATAAAACATGAATAAGAAAATACTCATCTATTAATATTTGTAATCATCAAAACATAAGATCAGGCCTTTTGATTGTAACAATTAAGATAAAGAATAATGATGTATACCTCTTGATTTATACACTTATTAATTCAACATTAATTTTATTAGTTTATACTAGAGGGGTACATGACTCGAAAACCTGACCCAGACTCGACCCAAAAATTCAGGGGTTTGGGTCGACCCGTTTAACAAACTAGTCGGGTTTGGGTTTAAATTTTGAACCCGATTGAAATATCGAGTTAGGTTCGGGTTAACCTGAACTCGAATACAACCAGTTTGGCATGTTTGTTGGCTCGCACTCACCCACTCATGCTCGCCCGTGGCCTCACCCACGCCCCTCGGCCTCGCCCTCGCCTGCTCACACTTGCACTCGACCCCACCCTTGCTCACTCGCCTGCTCGACATGCTTGCACTTGCCTGTCGCTTGTCACACTCAACTAGGTCAGCTAGTCGAGTTCGGGTCTAGTTTCTTAAGCACTTTAGATAAACATGTGGGGTTTGGATTGACATATTAAGTGCAGGTCAATTTCGAGTTTGACCCTAACCAGATCCAAAAACCTGTTTTGACACCCCAAGTTTGTACTAGTAAAATGGAGAGAATATTTCTACAACGATAATTATCAAATATCTATTACATAATAGGATGTGTGATGGCTGGCTCAACATCTTTCTAGTATTTTATATCGAAAAAGAAATGTTTGAATTGATTTTCAATGAAATTATAATATAATATTATCAAAAAATCCAAAGTATGTTGATAAGCTTGTAAGTATCATGGTTTTGAAAATCGGATTAGATTAATTGGCTCAACCGGTTCAACCATGAACTGGTCATATGGCCGATTCTGGTTCAGTCCTCCTAAAAAATTGATCTAGCATTAAACCGGTGAGAACCGATACTATTTCTTATGAACTGATCGGTTCAATTCATAATATATTTAAATAATTTAATTTAATATATAATATTTTATTAAACATTAAATTAATTTAAATATAATATATTTTATTTAATAATATAATTCTTAAAATATTATAATATTATATATTTAACACTAGTAATCATACTCACATGATTAAATCACCCTTTTTTTTTTAGAACAAAATTTTATATATAAAAAGACAACCAAAAGGATACAACAGCAAAAAGAAAAATAAAACAGACAAAAGACAACAATAAGGAAAAAATAAGCTAAAAGAGAGCTCAGAATTTGGTCAAGGCTCCCAACGTCCCAGTCATCCCACACGGACCCTCCAGTAAAGTGTAAGCAAAGAACCATCGAACCATCCCGAACAGCACACCAACGGTTGCCACGAGCAAAAACGCCGGAACGTGAGCCCCGACCCCATCATTGCTCATAGCCACACACATCATCAGAACGATCAATAAAGCCAACAAAAACCCCATAGCATCAACAAGCAGAAACAAAACCAACACAAAAAATCACCTTCTGCGTCTACCTCTCCCCCAAAACTTTCCGCGAGTGGCAATATTAGACGAACGCACAAGCGCAAAATCAAGATC